GTTCCCCGCCTAGGAAAAGGGGGTGCGCCTTGCTGAGGAGCGGCGTCCCGGGGGCGCGCAGCGTGTGTCTGGGAGCGGTGGGTGCTGTCCTTCCGACCCTGAGTTGCAGAAATGTCTCTGGTAGCAAGTAGACCCCCCACACACACTTGCTATCTGGGACTTTGAGGAACACGAAACATCTGGCTGAAAACAGATTTCGGCACGTTCTTAAAAAAAAAAAAAAGAGAAATCTCTGATTTTGACAGGCCAGATTCTGGTCTATTGAGCAAATCCCGCTTAATTCATGGATTATTGGGCAGGCGGGCAGGAACTTCTTCATCTTCATTCTGCTCTTATCGTGTCCGGCCAGCTGCTGCGCACGTGTCCCAGATCTGTGCGCTCAACCCCTGCGCCTCTTTCATTGAGGAAAAAGCTGCGGGAGCGTGTGACGAGAGCTGCGGTGATAACGAAAGCGGAGTTTCACTCCGTGGTGGCTGAGACGCCGCTTTAATTTTTTTCACAGCTGGCTGTCAGGTTCTTTATTATAACCCCACGAAGTTCGTTAGCTAGCGGCTCAGAATTCATGTGAGGGGACGCTTGAGCCCGGGCTTCGCTGTAAGCTGGCCTGATGCAGGGAGCCGGTGCCAGGCTCCGGCGATCAGTGGATGCTGAACTTTCTGCGGTCAGGTCGGGCAGTTCAAATGGGTCGTGCGTTTTGGTTTCATTCAGCCGGAGCGGATCCCAACGAAGACTGACAGGTTTTATTTTTTCCTCTCCCTCCGGTTGCCGCTGATGTCAATTCTAAAAGCTCTGTTCTCTTCTTGCTTTCGCTGACAGAAGTTCCCTTCACCGGAGCTGGCAGGGTTACACGCTGCATGCACTACTGCGTGTCTGAGGGGAGAATCAGACTCCACAGGTCCAAGTCAGCGCTTGACTGCCCGTGTTCCCGGGGAGACTTTTGGAGGCAGGGAGAAAGGGTTGAGACAGACGTGTTACTGGCGTCGCTCCAGGGGAAAGGGTGGCATTCTCCTCGCCCTTAATTACTAAATACATTCTTCACCACTTCTGTGGGGACTTTGCAATGCAGGCGTAGCCGGTGATATGGTCTGAGATAAACGTGGTGCCTGTGTTGTGGAAACTGAATCGCTGGGCTCCGCGTGTGCGCATATTCTCCGCTGTAGCTCTCGCGTAATCCCTCTCGAATCCCGACACGCGCTCACTTGCTCGCGCTTACTGCGTTTCTCGTTCTTGCCTTTTCTGTCGTAGTGGCTGTTCAGAACTGCAGCAACCTGGCAACAGTTAGCTCCTACAGCTAGGAGAATAGAGCGTTCTTCTGAACATAAATTATTTTCGACTGGAAGATGAACTAGATACTGGTTTACCCTCTGAAATTAAGAATTAATTAAAACAGATAGATACTTGGTACAAGATGGGAAATAGTTTATAGTCTGGTTTAGTAAAAAATATTAATAGTACCAAGTTTTTAAAGTCCTTTTTTTCTTCAAAGTAAAGATATTTTTGGTACATGGATAAAAGGAAACTTTGGAAAGAACGTAATTAATAAGCTTCAAAAAGATGTGCGAAGTGTTTTTTTACTAATCCTGCAAAAACCTAGGCCAGTGTTTTTGACTAATCCTGCAAAAACCGAGGCCTGGGCACAACTTTACTTATGTGAGCACCACTATTAAACTTGGAACAGAATAAAGCAGGGGTTACTCAGGCAAGTAAATTTATGTTGAGGCATAAATATTTAGAAAACTCTGGCCTAATATTTGTGAGTATGTAGAAGAAAGTTTCCTAAATCTTGTTCACACTAATTCAGATTATTCAGGAAGAAATTACATTGATAATAATCTGGTTTGTACATACAACTAATTTGTAACTTGCTAATTATAAAGACAGTTGCAACTTTTTACAGAGCTATAATAAGAAAGAAACTTCTGATTTTACAACGACCTTATATCAATAAAGTCTTTTGCTGGCACATTTATTGAGGAAAAAGGACACAGGATGAAAATTCCACTGGAAAAAGGTCAGGGAGGAACAGAAGATACCTCCTGAAGAAAATGTATCCCCCTGAAGACTTTCTTCCCTTTTTGCAAGAGAGGACTAACAGAAATAAGGAATATTTTAACACTGTACCAGAAAGGTGGATTTGGTGGGGGAAAGCACCTTGCACCTCTGTCCCACTCTCTATTACCTAAATATTTTTGGAAGATTACTACAAATTGAACCTGTGGACTTCTGATTTTACAAGTGCATTGGGGGATAGTAGGAAGGCCTATAAAAACCTTCTCAACAAGTGGTGTAACCTTCCTGGCAGTCAGAAGGTTAGTAAAAGGCACTGGTCAAAGCAGAGAAGTCAGTATCTCAAGGAAGTTTGTCTCAGCAAGCGAGGAGTGTCTGATACTACAGACTCCTTCGTAGCCACAAGCATGGCCTCAGTAGATGCTCTTCTAGACACAGAAGCTGATGATGCAACTGGTAGGATCCTCTTTTATTTAATGTACTTGACTTGTAATAAGTTTCATAGTTCTGGTCTGTTTTGTTTTTTTTTGATGGTGACTTTGTAATCTAACAGGTGCCTGACACCAATTCAGTCCTGATGGGAACAGCTGCAATTTAATGCTGGCCTACACAAAGACTGAATTTGGTTTATGATGTCTGTGGTCTTTTAACTTTGAAACAAAGTTTAAGGGAAACATTCAAGGCATAAGGATTTTAATGCCTATATCTTGATAGCACATTCATGCAGTTTGGACTTTAGAGCGATGTGCTCTCTTTAATAATTAATTTTAAAATAGCTCACAGTAAAAAGAAGTTTGGTGTAAATCATCCTGATGTGTCTTGTTTTCCGTCGCTAATATGTATAGATCATAAATAAGGCCATTCAGCAGTTCCACCCTGAAAAGATGAAGGAACTAGCCGTAGGGAAGGTGGATTAAAGAACTACTAGTACTTTTTGCAACAAGCGGAGTTTTTACTTGAAACTATCAGCATTGGATTAGAGCATCTCAGAAAACTGAAGAGATCATTTAAAGTGATTTATGTAATACTACACAAACTCGGTGATTGCCAGTATCCTTATGCCTTTTTTGTTACCCACGCCAAGAAAAACAATGCATCAAGAACAAGGTGAGGGAGGACTTGTAAGTCTTGGATTATGCAGATTAGTTTACCACTTGTTACATTAAAATCTGTCATTTTGGTGAAAGGGGGATTTGGGCGATTCCCAAACCCTCGGTGACTGCAGGACTGGACCGTTCTTAAGGTCAATGAAGGTAGCTCTTGAGCGCTGTTACACCTCTTGTTCTTCTTTCTCTTCCTTTTGAAACTGTTCTCTTGGCCTGGTGGGTTGCTTTTTCCTGGGTGCTTTACGTGCTGAGGTCCAAAGGTGCCCTGAGTACCCCTCCAGCAGACCCCTGTGCTGGAGGGGAGCCTCCAGCAGGCAAGAAGAGAGCCCCAGCAGTCTGACCCTCGCTCTTCTGTGCCTGTCCTCTCTGCTAATGCCTGACACGTGTTGGGATAACACAGGGACTGGTAACTAGCACCTAGCACATCAGAGCAGAAAGCTGCAATCGCCCACCTCTGTTCTGCGCTGGATGCATTTGGGTTTTTGTACCTTTCCAGTTTCTCGTGTCCTTGACCCAAATGTTTTGTTGCTAAAACTCTTGGTTTTGTTACTAGTGAAGAAGGCAGAGAGGCAGCCTGACATTGCTGAGGCCCCAGGGCCTTAGGGCAGCGCGATACAGTCAACTCCACTAGGACTGCACACGTGATTAAACTTAAGTATGCGTGTTAACTACTTTTCTGAATGAGGTGGCAATGAGAAAGGGAAACCCCGATGTTTGTGTGCTAAATCTGCCTCAGCTGCATTAGGTCCAAACAGTTCTGTAAAGACAGCTCTGTGAGTGCTCAGAAGAATAAAGAACTCAAGAGTAATCTCTGACCAAAGTCTGTTATATCAGTGGAGTCACTTATGGAAGAATGAAGGAATACGGCTACTTATGATTTTTTTCTTTTAAATCCAGTATTTGTTAAATAGTATGGCCATTGCAGAATTGGGGGATGGGATCTATCAGTAAGAATTTTGTTTTGGAGGCTTTTCAAACGGGCCCTGGATTTTGGTTTGAGCAGTGTAAGAATCTAGCTGAAGAGTGTTCCTCTCTTAGTGCATTTTCTAGAATATAAATTTTAAATATGAGTGGAACTATCTTTTGATAATCGGATTGGAGATCTCATCAGCCTTTTCAGAATGTGATTGTTCTTGATGATGTTTTGTTTTTTAGTTTTAAAATTATAATGTTAAATGCTCTACTAAAGATTGTGTTAGCTAATAAATGAAACTCCTGTTGTGAATTCAGACTAATGGAATCATTGTTTTTGTCACAGGTGATCCTGGACTTTTTGTGCCCCGAGAGACAATGAGTAGCCCGACAAATATTTGACTCGAGGGAGATAACTCGTAGAAGACCAAGTTGTAGCACAAATTCAGGGTTCTGATGAAAACTTGAGATGTTGATGGCAATGAACGTTATTTCAGACATGAATAACTTCCGATATTAAAAATGGTAAGCCGTTTGGGAGGAGGGAGAATGTCTAGTGGAGATGCTGAACTTTGCCAGTTGTTGAACAGAACTGAGCATAAAAATACAGTTTAAATAAAGCTGTTCTTCAGACTGGTTTTGGTTGAATACTTTGCCGAATCAATAGTTTACCTCAGAAACCTGTTCAAATGGCACTGTGCTGTCAGTGACCAAAGGGAGAGATGAGTATTTCAGATAATTAATACTCCATTCTTACTACTATGCCGGTCGAACTCAGCTATTCTTTCTGCAAGATTCTGCATTCTGAAGTTTTTGGAGGCACTGCTTTTTCTAGTTTGCTGCTGCCAGCTGACAACGGTACTGACATGCTATACTATTTGCTGTCTCTTTTGAGTTATTTTTTTTGAAGGCTTCTCCCTTTTCTCATTAAGATTTTTTTTCATCTTAAATCTTTTCATTAGCAATTTCTGATCTGCTTCTACTCTTACCTCTTTTCTATTTCTTTTTATACTACCCACTTTTCTGTCTTGTTACAACATAGATACTTCATATCTTTCTAGCAGAAGACATCAGCAAATCTAGGTTAGTGACAGCAAATGCTACCAACAATAGGCATCCAGTGCTGATATGACAATGTCTGTTTTGTTTGTACAATGAGGCCTGCTTTCCTAGGGCAATATAGATATTGCAGCGTCAATTCAATGTTATGCATCACAATTTAATTTTGCAACCTCGGTAAGAACCTTGTCACCCTTGCTGTTAGCAGTTTTTCTTTGACTCACGTCCATGAGCTGCCTCAAATTCCACATTTTTCACTCCTGAGAAGCAATTACCTACCTCTGTTTCAGGAGGACAAGTGTTACTAAGAATTCTTTAGGATAACAGAACACAATTTATTAACATTTTAGTGTTTGCTTATTTAATGAACAAATAAACATGTATTTATTTAGCATGTGTAGTTAAGTAATGCTTGGGACTATAGTACAAATGCTGCTTTGAAATCTAGCCCTCCTGAAGTCACAAAGATGGGCAGTATTGTGGTTCAGTAGGACAATCAAGGTTCCTGACTGACATGACGGAATAAAGGTCTGATTATCTTCTTAATTAGTTTTAGGAATGGATAAAATACACAAAAATACTTTACCAATACCCTTAAATTTAGATGAATGCTGCAAACTTCTTAACCTTTTCTTTGTCTAAATGAAGGTATAATCAGTAAGCATATTTACAACTTTTAGATAATGATTTCTATAGCTTCTAAATAGTTTTGTGGTAACAGCTGACCAGTAAGTGTACAAAGTTTCATGTCCTATAGTTTTTCTAATGAATTTCATTATCCATAAAGAGAAGGCAAACTTACACCCCTTCCTCGAAGAAACACCTTGCACTGGAAGTGAAAGATTTTCATCTGATTCTTTTCATTTTTTAAATGATCTAATATAGTACCAGACCAGAGTTGGATATGCTTTTCGAAGAATAGTTATTACCTTATTGGTGGTCATAAAAATGCAGCTCTTTATCATCTCAGCGTCCTTACCTCAGTTAGGAACTTGAATTAGGTTGTCTGGGTTTTGTGGAGGGGGTGAGTTGGGTTTTCTTGTGGAGGATGCCTCATCTTTTCCATTGCTAGAGTTGTGAGAAAGTCCTTCAACGCTTCACTTGAACTTCCTAATCTCCCCTAACTCCTAAGATCTGCTGCTCTCTAAAACAAGAGAGACTAGAAGCAGTTCATTCCATACCCTGCTGTGTGTGACCAAACACTGGAATTCTCTTTCCAAATACATGTTAATCAACTGAAAGGTTCATGGATGGTTCCACATTAATTATATTTTATTTATCCGTCCACACCTTTAAGCACTCCTCGCTTGGTGCTTGGTATTGTGTGAGGTCAGTCAGTAACATTGCTTTTGTTGGTTGACCTTCTCAGATGCACCCAGGTGCTAGCGTAGTGTGGTTACAGTGCGGCTGTCAGTACTGCGTTCTCGGGCCAGACAAGATGGCCAAAGTGATGAATGGGTATGAGTACAGGCATCAGCCTTGAAACTGGTATCCAGTCACACCGTAGAGAAGTTTCAGCGGCTACCTATCTTTGTGTGTGTGTTCTGGGGAAGAATCATGAATGTTCTTTCCCCCCTGGCAGTAGCTATGGATTTTATTTGGTGTTCAGGTTTTCCAGACTGAGCGATGCGGAGTTTTCTACTCCTTAGTCTTACTTGATTTTAAGGACACATTCATCTCCCTGTCTGTGTCTGGGAGAAAAGAAGTGATTTCATTTTCAGAGGTGAAAGAGTATTCTTAGCCCAATACCGTTAGGGTACAGACATTTTTATATTAGAGATATTGAAAAGAAGGTACCTCTTCGTATGAATTTTCCTCATTAGCAGCCACTATTTGCCCCGTCAGTCAAACATCACAAAATCACTTTTAAAATGAAGAATTGTAATACCTTTTTACCCTCCTTCAGCACTCTCTATAGATATTTTTTTTCCTTAAGTAACAGCATCCACAGGCTTATTTTGAGGCTAGAGATTGTTGAAAATATGGGACTTACATATTATGAAGAATCGAAGCTTGCATAAATGCGAATAAATCAGTTACTTCAATTGATTTTTTTTGTTTAAATTTTGTTCAAGAATTAATAGTTTATAAATAAAAAACCCTGCCTGTTTTTATTAACAGTTTATGTGTATTTTGCATTAATATGTCTGTCTTAATTATAGCAATTATTTGCATTAAAGGTATGTCTCCAGATTATCTGTGGCTGTGCAATTCTGGGGTCTGCCTTCTGTAATTGGAGTATTGTAATGTCCTGTAATACCTGCACCTAACATGCAGGTTCACATAATTTCAACTTACAAAACCTACGTTCTTCCTCACATTTCCATTATGACCTATTATATCTCTGAACCTTCCCTGAGTCTCTGTTACTGAATTAAT